ACTTATGGAAGATCTGAAAAGAAAGGGATATATCATATATACATAGACTTATTTCTAGGGTCTTAGTGTTTAGACTTTAGAGAAGGATTCTTAGAGTTCTCCTCACTGCTAAATTCAAGATTTGAATTCTGTGCTTGATATATAGTTAGGGATAGAAAGGACGTATGGAGGGTAAAATAAAAAAATAAAAAATAACATTTATGAATTAGCTAAATTGTTAAAGGTAACTTAATTCTGTCCAAAAACATTGATAATTTTTTACCAGGCAGGATTTCACCCTTTGATATTGCGAATTCCTGACTAGAAAAGTAGAAAACTATTAATACACTTATAAATTAGGAGCTCAACTCGTGGCAATTTTGGGGAAAAAAAAAAAAGGAAAACCATTTTATTTTGATTTGCTTGATTTTATTTTCGACTTAATTATTGAAGGCCTTGATCAGCCTACCCTATCAAGCCAATCTATTTGTCCTGGACTTTGTTAGATGCTAATGGTTATATACCAAAGCCTAACCAATTTCGTCCCAGCTTCTCTTGATCTTGATACATATGGTCTACAATCATGGGAGTTATATTCAAGTGTTGTTAACATTTTTTGCGACTATAATGACAATAATATTAAAATCCATGGGTCATTTTCTGTCTGCGAAGACCTTAATCAGCTGTTACAAGAATTTTATACTCAAGTTAGTTCTCCTTGTGGGCATATGTGAGGAGCATATTCTCTTCCCTATCCCATTCTCACTACTTAAACACAAATTCATTGATTATATCGATACTAATTAAAAATGAAGGGGATCCAATAACAGCAAAATATCTAAAGGGTTATTATATGATTGTGAATATAGTGTTAATAAATAGTAACTATATTCTCTAATTTAGTCTCATCGGTTATCTTCTGACTAAAATGACACGGGAAACTCTGTGATTGAACCAGTATGAAGCCAAATAAGCTAATGCTGCAAATCAATATGACATATAATGGACAAGAAGAATTCAATTCTGCTGCACTTTGTGAGATTTTTTTTTAAACAAACCTTGTTTTATAAGCTAACATTATGAATTAGATTAATATTTTTTACACTAATAGTTTATATAGTATTAGCGTTGGATGAATGACAATTATGTAAAATTTGAATTTAACATTCAACTTTTGCATATATATCATAGATTTGTCAGTGATAGGGTTCACAATGTCAGTATATATAAAATTTATTCTTATGAATTATTTACATTTTACTGTATTGTTTAATGCAGGATTCTATATATTTTCTAGAATTCCAAATGATTCATCTAGATATGCATATATTCACCTTGCAACAATTTCTTCTCGGATTCCAGTTTGTCAATTAAACATCGTAGAGACTATCAAAACAATATCAAATCTTCTGAATTTCATAAGTCATTATCCTAGTTAGTAAGTACTTGTATTATATCCGTATAATGTACATTCATATGCATAATTTAAAAAACTTCTGTATTTTATATATTTCAAAAATATTTTGAAAAATACTTGTACTTTTTCACGTAAATTTATAAAACACATAATATATTGTTGGCTATCCTACTTCCTGTATTACGCTTTAAATTTTGGAGAAAATTTAAAATTTGTATTTTAGTAATGACATATCTTGATAATTATATATAAGATAGCAGCTACTTATATCCTAATTTCAGTAGAATTATAGATGTAAACGTATTAATGTGATAAAGTTTTAATCTATGTGATGTTTGATACACAAGAATAAACGGTAAAAATGGTATTCATGTAGCATTACCTTTGAAAATTATAATAAATTTACTCTTATTTCCAATTCTATAACTTTCAAATATATTCATACTATTCACTTATAAATTTATATGTATAATTTTGTCAAACTCGTATTTTTGAGCCAAACTTTAAATTGTACTTTTGAAAAAAGTTCTATATGATATAAGTAAATATTATATTTCATATTATACATGTCCTGATTTTTACTAAGTATGGTCATTATATGGTAATTTTAAGTATAATGATTTGATGGCCCATTTGATACACATAGTCATTATATGTTGGACTAAATGCGTGACAATTAATTTTAATTTGAGTTTAACATCTAAATTTTGCATATATGACAAGCATCAAACATCAACAGTGTATAAACTGTCAATGTATAGAAGATTAATTCTATAAAATAACTTAAATGAGAAAGCCAATTTCTTTATTTACTTGAAATTTATTATGTGCAACAGCTGCACCTTCACCACATTAATTACTGCAAGGAATCAACTCTGATTAGGGCTAATGCTGGATCATGTAGCTTGATTCGAGCTCGCAAGCTACTCGGTCAGCAGGTTGGCTCGAGCTCGAGTTCGAGCTGCTTGATAGAAGCAGCGAGTCGAGCTCAAGCTTCAATATTTGACACTCGAAGGCTCGACGAGTCTAATCGAGTTTTTTATAATATGTATTTTAATTTTTATTATTGTAAAATGTCAATAATATCCTTTATTTAAAATTATATGTAAAATATTAATTTTTATTACGTGAGATTGATTAGGTTTGATTGAGCTCGAATAGGCTCGACTGAGCTTGATTTGAATTGATTATATTTAATTAAACTCGAGCTCGAGTAACGTAAATTGACGTCGAGTTCGAGCTTGAGCTCAAATTCTAAAAGTTCGACGATCTCGAGTTCGATCTCGAGCTTAGTTATTTTATCTCGAGTCAAGCTCGAGTAGTTCGAACGCACCCCTAACTCTTAACTCTGACGAACCACTAGATGGTTGATTATATTCATAATTTCCTCAATTTTAGATACTTCCCCTAAATGTAGACGAGGTCAAGCATCTGCTAGTTCTTACAGATTGACTCTATGCACTTTAATCATTTCACTAAATATGCTTCCAAAACATTTCTTTTTCTTCATAATCTTATGCACATGGAGTCTCTATTAGGGTGCAATCTAGTTGAGTTGAGGTCAAACAAAATATTACTCGAGCTCGACTCAAGTTAAAAAACTTCCACTCAAACTCAACCTTGCGGTCGTTGGGCTCTTGAAAGTCAAGTTTGAATTCGAGTTTGAACTCGATTTTGTTTTACTTTACTCAAGCACGAGCTCATGCTAGTGCAAATCAAACCCAATCAAGCTTAATTCGAACTCAGTCGAGTTTAATCGGGCCTAATTGAGTTTAAAAAATCTATATTTATATTTTGTATAATTTTAAACAAGGGACAAAATAGACATTTCATACTAATAAATAATTTTTTTAAAAAATATATAAGTGAAACTCGATTGAGTTCGATTAAAGTCAATGACTTTTGAACTTCACACATTAGATTCGGGTTGGAATTCATTAAGCAGCTTGAACTCGTACTCAAACTTGGTCAATACGAGTCCAAATTCGAGTTTTGATTGAGTAAACTCGTGAGCTACTCGACTGATTTCGACTCATTTGCATCTCTACTCTCCAATTGAACAAAAAAGTAGATAAATAAATAAACAAGTATTCAGATTACTCTAGATGCATCAAACTGTGCGTCACTGCCTAATCATCAGAAACCACTGCTGCTAATTAATTAATAATTAAATAGCTAAGTAATTACTAATGTAGAAGAGTTCTACAGATGTTTGAAACAGCTAGCTGCTAGTTAGTTGGCTATGACTTCATTAGAAGAACTAATCAAGAGGTTTCCCATCTCAACTTCATCCAACAACGATTTCCCCTTTAGTCGCTTTCCATTCGAGGTTTTTTATGTATATTTGTCCACTCAAATATACATATTAAATAATTTGCCACCAAGCAACCGACAGGGTCATGATTATGTTATTCCGTTAATCCATCTAATCTGATTGGTCGAGGCAACAATATAGACCATATTATAAATAATGGTGAGTAGGATTATAATTACGTTTTGGGTAAACTACTTAGGATTTTCTCAATAATTAACTTTTGGCCTTTCATCCATTTCAAATTGGCTCCTCAACAAGTGAAAGCGTCAATTTTGATCTTTCAATCTATCAACATCGTTAAAGCTAATGGATCTAAATTCTAATACAAAATTTCATGAATCTAAGTGTGAAAATTGACTGAAGGATCAAAAGTTAATAGTTTTTATTGTTGAGGAGTTAATTTGAGATTTGAAATAGATGAGGTGCCAAATCTTGACCATTGGAATAGTTTAGCGGTTCTCTAGGTAGTTTACCCTTATATTTCACTAATTATAACGAAAATAACGACTTTTTTTCCTTTCTTTTTTGTTATTAGGAGAGGATTGGGGAGCTAAATTTCTCAGCTTAGCCCTTTCAGACATGATGAAGCATTTTTAATAATGTGCAAAAATTTTCAATTTTCAACTTTTCAGCCAAGTAATTATGCTAAATGGACATAAAGATTAATCTGTTGCTTAGTTTAGAATAATTCAAATGGATGGAACTGTGGAATAATCAAGTTTTGGAGAGCTGCCTTATTTATTCTTCAACAGAAATGCTCTTCATTCTATTACAAGTCTCTAACACTACTTTTTAAAGTCACTTGCAAAAACTGTCATGGTGAGCTACAATGTGAGTGCTCAAACAAAACTAGTCCTTCTATTGAAAGTCCCTGCAAATGAATTTCAGGTAGTATTCTAATTCATAGAAGCCAAATACTAAAAACTTTGTTAAATTTAAAAAAAGATAAATGTAAAGAAAAAAACCCTTATTTATATTCCCACTTGAGGATGAATAAATGTTATATTTGCCATACTTCCTGAGGGTACCTTCACTCCCAAAGCTGCCAAGGTTTGTTTCATTTTTAGATTGTTTGGAGGCCATCAAGAATAACTAGTATTTAAGTGAAGTTTGGCCAAGTCCAAGCTAGTTTCTACCTCTGTTTCTTCTGGGAAACTTCCTATATAATTGAATATTTGATTTCGCCCTCAATCAGGCTTATAACATGGAGCAGGACAACAGTCACCAAACCATTACAATATCCTTATTGTTTCACGCATCTTCCGACTTTGATCAAGGGTTAGATCAGGTCATCAGACACATTGACTTTGTTGGCTTCAGTTTTCAGTTACTTGATCTCAGACCCTTTCCACATTGAACTCTAGCTATAGCTGATGGTTTCTGTTCAAAGAAATATGAACTTTTCCATCTGTTTACTGTAGATATGAAGTTATCAACTGAGGAAACAATCATGGGGAGGAACACTGATGACAAAAGAGCTGTACCAGTGGGAAGAAAGGTATGATCAACTTAACTCAAAAGCTAATGATTTATGTTGTAAGTCATAACACACATATGTATAACTGTTTCTCGGAAAATGCTCAAATGTCTGATATTTTGACTTCAACAAAATGGTCAGGGGACAAAGGAAGATGATCTGAGAAAATCTTTATTCAAATCTATCGCGAGATCACCTGTTGAAGATGGAAGACCAAGCAGTATGATTATTAGGGTAAGCTGGAAAAATAGTTGATGCTTTATGAAGCAGTAATTTTAGCTAAAATTGAGTTTCTGATGCACATTTGGCATTATACAGAAAAAGAACACAGTCATTCCGGCTCATATAGTAGCAGAAGCAATATCTACACTTCATGGTCTCGATCTACGATGGTCAGGGCCAATTACACCGGCTGAAATGCAATATGTTGAGCAATATGTCCTAGCCAAGTATCCCGAGTACTCGAGTGCGCTGGTGGAAGGTGGAGACAAGACGGATTTATATGATCTTTGCATCAAGGGAGAGTTCTCAGAGCTGTCACCTGATGACAAGAGAAAGTCACCTAGGACAAGTGTGGGATCCAGAGAACCATCTACACCCTCTTTTGGTAGCAATCTTCCTGATATGGACAAAATCCAATTGGAGCCATCAAGATTACTTGATATCTTAACCAAGAAATCATCTTTCTTAGGGAGCTTCATCTCAATCCCCGAAATTCAAGCTCGAAATAAAGTTCTAAACCACTGTGGATTACCTGAAGAGGACTATCTTGTTCTTTTCACCCAACAGTACAAAGATGCCATGATGTTGGTTGGAGAGAGCTATCCATTTTTCAGGGGAAACTTCTATTTAAGCATTATTGGCGAAGAATCAGATTATGTAAGGGAATTTGCAATGTTTAAGGAATCAAAAGTCATCCTAGCACCAGAGTCCTGGCTGGATTTGAGGATTAAGGGATCACAACTCAGCCAGTATTTCAGAAGAAAATGCAAGCACAGCCCGAAGGGGTTGTTTTCTTATCCAGCTGAGGTCAATGGGATGCGATACTCAATGCACTGGGTTTCTGAAGCTCACCGGAACTCATGGCATGTTCTGCTTGATGCGACAGCCCTCGTGGTAGGACAAGACAAGCTAAATCTTGCACTTCACAGGCCTGATTTTGTTCTTTGCAGCCTTGAGAATGGTCATGCCAACCCTTCAAAAATCACCTGCCTGCTTGTCAGGAGAAAATCGTTTGATGTGTCCATAGCTCCAGCTCAAGCATTCAAATAATAGTATTTGCTAGAACAGAAGAACCGTTAAAAAAGTTGTGCAATGCTGTAACATATTTACTTCAAGACAAACTTTTCCTGTTTATATATGCTTAACTAATCTGTCGAGCTTACAGGAAAAATCTTCAAATTCAGCATCCATGGTACACAACAGTTACCAGAAATTGTTGGCTTATTTTCATAACTAAATGTTATGAAATTTCTCGTGTAATTGTCAAGGAAACCACAAGATGGAAAAGGGAGAAATGCAGAAGAATTTTACAATGACTGACTTTTCTGTTCTGCTAACCCCTTTGTTTGCCTCTATTGTTTGATCAGGGATCAACTGAATTTCCCAATGTCGCAACTAAAGCTAGTTAAGATGAAATTTGGAGTACTTTTCAATAATTTTCGTCAGTTATTGCTAAGAACTTATAAACAAAGTTTTATTCAATCTTAAGCTACATAAGTTTAATTAGTTTCAAAACTAGGATTTTCATTTTGGCTTCTTACCTTCTATACATATATACTATTTTACTTCAAAAAAAAGGTGAGGAGTGCTTGACCAGTGGAATAATAATTCATTTTTTATGTTTCTTATTTTTATGTAGTAGTTCTTTTTCATTCTAAGAACAAGAGGTGGTGAAGATGGAAATTCTCAATTAACAGTAAAGTATTTAGGAACAGTCTGCAGTTGTTAGAGAGTTACTTAACTACAAGAGTATTGCTGCACATTTCCAACCTCACAGATCAAGATACCTTCTCAAATTGTTGAAAAATAGGAATTCAATCCCTTTTGGTAAAAACAAATCCTTCGCCTGGTGGAAATGCTAATCAAGTTTCTTGAATCCTTCGTGAACGCTTCTCTTGTTTGTTGTGGGATAAGCCAACTGAGGATTGACTGCGGTTGAGTGATAATAAACAGGAAAGGTTATTGAACGACGAACACATTTATCTAGATGCATCATGCTGAATTCTAAAGCATAATTGATTCTATAAATTCATGACCACAATATTTTTTTTCCATGCTCCTCTATGAAGACAGTCATGTAAGTAAGACAAGCACTCTCATTCAACATGCTACCGACAGGCTACTGCGGAAGTTAAAGAATGTAAATTCTGACATACCAGCTATTAGAAGTTTATGACTGCTAAAATGCTAAAACTACAAACCTACAAGTAGAAAAAGGACAAGATCATGAGAAGAAAAGAAAGCTCCAGAATAGAGTAAATGATGACTTTGTTCTGTTCTTCAATTATATGTCAAGCCGTAACAGAAAAAGAATTCACGTCAGAACCTGAGGCCACAGCAGACAACTATTGCTAGCAAATGACCATCTGGATAGGTCTACATCAGGCATGCAGTGATTTCACAATGTTGAAAGCCATATCTTTAAACATGTAAGTTATATATATTCAAAAACGATGCCTTTGTCTCATTTGTTAGATTAGAGTTCAACTATATTTCCCATTATAGCAATTAAGAATTAGAAAGATAAAAGCAGCTAAGAAATGAGATTAATTTTTTTAAACCTTCCAAGATCTAGGAATTTCATTTTGGCTTCTTACTTTCTGTAGAGTATTCTTTTCTTTACTCGATATAAAAGGTAAGGAATTCTTTGTCAGAGCATGACTATTCCCTTTTCTGATGTTTCTCGTATTCATACTGTAGTTTTCTTTTATTGTAAGAAAGAGGGGTGGTGAATATGGACATGCTGATCTGAGCACATGAGAATACGTTAAGGAACAGTGCAGAGTTAAGGTGCAAAGCTTTGTAACTACAAGGTATTGTCGCAGATTACCATCCTCACTGATCAAACTGTTGGAGTCTAGGAGCTCAAATCCTCGTCTATAACCAATTCCTTCATCTATCTTGCTTGTTGCATCCTTCAAGATTGTTTCCCTTGTTAGTTGAGGGCTAAGCCAAATGATCATTGACTGAAGAAAATTAGGAGGAATGGTTATTGAAGGGTGAACACTGATTAGCCTAAGATGCATCTTACTGGATTCCGAAGTATAATATTTGAATAAAACAGCACAAGGATACCTTGTTTCACACTTACTTGTCAAGACTCAAGGCAATCATATAAGAACAGGAAAGTATTTAACACGCTGTTGACAAGAAGAAAAGAGAGCTCCAGAGTACAGAAAATTACAGGCTTATATATATGGTTGTACAATACTATGTTGATCCATAAAAGAAAAAGAAAACATGCTAGCAAAGGACCATCTGAATAGTTCCACATCAGCCATGCTGTATGTTTGATGAAATAGGACACCTTAGAACATGTAAATATGTAGATATTCAAAAACAATGTCTAAAATAAAAAAAGATGATAATTCTTGGATTCCACATGATCGTTTCTCTTGCCTGTAGAGGGCTAAACGCAAATGAAGAACAGGGAGAAATTTCCTTACCTATGTCATACCTGTTTGATAACCTAATTTAGCACTTAAATTTAATGGATTTCTTAATATATTCAGATCATTTGATAATAAAAAATTGAACATCTGAATTAATTAACTGGCATTGAATTTCCTAGACAAAACTTGCTTCCAAAATTAAGTGATAAACTATTTACTTATTACTGAATATGATATGTATTCAAATGTATTAGATTTAATACTTAACAATTCAATAACTTAATAGATGTAGACTTCATATTTCAGTTTTATCAAACACACAATGTCTCTTCCAAATGTGGAGAAAATGCTTATATATGAAGTCATCAGCACACTAACAGCAACACTTCGATCAAGATGTTATTTTGGAAGTCAAAAATCAAAATGAAGAACATCACTCATTAGCCAGTTCAGAAGCTTTCAGTTAAAATAACATCTTAATACATCATAAGAAGAAGAAAAGAGACAGTGCCAACAAACAGCAAGAAACAACACTTTTCACAAGTGGAATAATATGTTCGCAGTAAGCAGAAAGCATAATTTTGCTCCTCTTCTGGGATCTCATTTATAGAAAACTGTCAATTGCTAAAAATAGATGGTCAGCAGCTCGCGAGACAACTCAATGCTTTCATTGTAATGTCAACAAAAAGCCACATGCGCTGCTGAACCTATGACACTTGCATGAATCCTAATGTGGTATGCACACAACAATTACAAAACTGCACACAGCTGATAATTTAAGTGGCGTATACTCCAGTTGAAGAGTAGGAGTAATGCAACTATTGCGTTGGCCTTGCGTTAGGATTGCAATTGACAACCCCCACTCAGTAAAGCATCTAAGTTAAGTTACCCGACACTGTGTAGGATACCGTATGTCAGGGAGCCTGCCGACAAGTAGCCTATCAAGCTTGTTTGTCTGATGATCATATGAATAAACAATTGTAAAGCAACTGGGCTTCTTATTTGGTAGGTCGGAAAATAATATCTGCCCAGTAGGGAGGCTGCCAACATAAGCTGTTCCCCTTGCCAAAACTTCTGAAGGCAAGGGAATGTCATGCCTGCTCCAGGATTTACCTTCATTAATGTACGAGTGACAAAACACCTAAGAGTTTCAAAATCAGTGGGAATCAACAGACCTATACGTCTCATGAATTGTACAAGCTCCCATCTGTTTCCCTTTATCCTGAATAATGCATCGTCTGGCAGTTCTATCAATTGGAATTTCTCTATGTTGAGATCAAAAGAAATCAGCCTTCTACAATCATCCTCACAATCAACTACCCAATACAGGATCCCACCAACCAAAGGCTCTCACTTGAAAAGATTTTTCTATCGAATTTTATCAGACGTACAAGTGTTGAGTAAAAGAACTGAAATTCTACGGGTGCTTCTGTGTCAGGGTTTTCTAGTTGATCAGATCTGGCATCAATGTAGACTGGGATGAACATTGGGATGCCACCATGATATGATTGAGCACCAATACTTTGAAAGGCACTTGCACTTGTGCAGATTCTTGACCCTTCGAAGCCTTACAAGTATTTCAAAAACCAAGTCATCTGATAACTGCTTCTGTTGTGAGATTATTGAGCCATTTACAGCAGTGCCTTCTGCTGTTTGATTAGAATTCTGACGATTCCTCTCATCCATTTTTTGATCATCAAGTGTCTGAATCCATGATCTTCTCCTTGGAATATGGTCTGCTTCTTCCAGGTGAGCTGAATCAGGGATTATTCCCCAAATCCGTGGAAAATACTAAACTTGGATGTAGGAAGATATCCTACAGGAAAGATAAACAATCCCACAAAATAATACATCAGTAGCCTTGGACTAATACATATATGTAGACTGCTAAGATTTCTATAGCATGGTTTCCAAACCAACAAAGGAATCAATTATACAATCGGACTCCAGCTTCTACAATTTGGCAACTATCAAATAAAAGAAACTTGATTTAATTCCTAGGTTTCCAAGATAGTAAATAAAGTTCCCCCACAAATCCTATCGTTCTCTTCATAAGAGTTGGAATCCTTATTCCTTTATTATTTCATCTACATTTTCCTGTTTTCTTATTATATCCCATCTGGTTTAGATCCTAGAATAAAATGTATAAAGCTACAGCAAAGAATGTAAACAAAAAAAAAATCCAATTTCTAATATGATATGATATGATGTCTGCGATTATTATTTCGCAGCATAAGAAACTTGATTTAAGTTCAACAGCGTCCACTACTTCCTAATGACCCTCACTGAGCAAAAAATCTAATGGGGCAAGATTTTCCTCTATAAAAGTTACCCCAACACCTAAATTTGTAGCATGACGTATCTGAGGTGGGCTGCCAACCAACAGCCTCTCAAACCTATTTTTCTGATGATCATATGAATAAATTGGCACGCAAGCTGACTTCGACTTCTTCTGATCTAGTAACTTAAGGTTGGAAAACAATATTTGGCCGGTGGGAAGATTGCCAACAAATACGGCAGTTCTCTCTTCTGAATCTGATCCAAGTGGCCAGGGGATATATTGCTTGATCCAACATTTGGCGTCATTACCATCATGATCTAGCAAGTGAACCCCAAAACAGACATAATCAGAATTCAACAGGCCTAGGTGTCCCTTGAACTGCACAAATTGCCATTCCTTTGGATGGACTAAAAATTTGTAATCCGGCGGGGGTTGAATCAGATCAAACCTGTCTTTCTTGAAGTCAAAAGAAACTAGTCTTGGCTGATTATCAAGGCAATTAACAATCCAATACATTACTCCTTTAACTAAAAGGTACCAAGCAGAGGAAAGGCCTGACCCTTCAGAAGACACGACCTCGTCCAGCTCTGGGGAGTCGACGTCTAGTGCTGCAGAGGAGTCGGCCGAGGAGGGAACTGTCGAGACCACCCCAGGGTTGGAATGGGTGGTTCCGAGATCTTATATAATGACGATCTCGGAACTGAAATACCCCACAATGAGGGCGTGCTGGAGCCGGTCGCACCAAAGGATGTCGCTGAAATAAACTTCGGCAAGATGCTAACAGGTGTCGAGCCTGTGCAATAAAAAATACCTGCTCGAGAAAAATAAATTTTCTGTGTATAGTAGTGAGCAGGGTCGAATCCACAGGAACTGGAAAAAATTCGATTCTTTTTAAATTCGAGACACGGGGGATTTTTTTTATCAGATAAAACTAAAAATAAATAATTTAACAATTTAACTAAAAATAATTAATTAATTAATTAATACAAATGTAAATAGCAATCTAATAAATAATAAATAAATTCTAGCCAAGGATACAACTACGCAAACACAGTCCATTCATCCGATCATTGATGCAAAGAAGGTTCACTTAATTTTATTAACAGGTTAGTTATAGTCGCCGATAAACTCTAACGACCAGCTTTTCCTTAATTTATTGATAACCAAGGTACGGCCGTTGATTATCCCTAACCAGGAAATACTCCTAGGTACGACCATAGGAATTAATTTCCTAATTGCATTAAAAACTAT